CCTTGAGCAAATGACTTAACCTCTCCGAGCCATGGTTCCTTAGCCATGATTGATTGTGAAGGATGAACTGGGCGGTGCCTGCTCAATGCTTGGTGCGTAGCCAGTGCTCAGCAGGTGGTGGCTCTCTCGTGTTCTGATCAGATCAGTACTGGAGGCTTGGCTGACCGCCCCTTCCTGCCACAGCTAGATCAATATCAAGATCTCAGGGAAGTCCCGCACTCCCCTCGATAAATTCAGTTGGAAGAGACAGAACCTCCGTTCCCAGGGAGCATTCTGGGAGCATCTGCCCAGAGTGGAGGCTGGCTGCAGCCTGCGCCCACTGGGCCACTGCCTTACAAATGCTGTCCTGAGCCAGTCTCGAGTCCCGTTCCCTGGGCATCTGACCTGTGTGAGCCAGCAGGGTGGGTCAGGCAGGGAGATGAGAGGCGGCGCCTGCCCACAGGGAAACAGGACCCGAGGACATAAAGCTGGGAGCGGGCCAGGCAAATGAGAGCACGTGGGGGCCAGGGCGGGAGGCCGGGTGGGTGGGCCGTGCACCGTGGGCCGGGTGGGATCAGGCCAGCGGAGGGGTGGGAGAGACAGGGGTAATACAAAGGTGGGATTCGGGAAGCATGGGCGCCTCGCTGGGGGCTGGACGAGGAGGGGGCACTTTGGGAAGGGGAGCTCCTTCCTGCCCACAGTGTCGGGGGTGGGCGGGGGCCGGGATTGTTGGTTTGGGGGAGCAGCGGCGGATGGTGAGGGGCCAGGTGTGGCCCTGGTGGCGGCTCAGGGCTGAGAAGGGCCTGGGAACTGGGCCTCTGGCCAGGGTCTGGGGGAGACACAACCCCCTCCAGGCCTCCGCCCCTGGCACGTGGCCAATCCCCACGCCACCAGGGACAAAGGACAAGTGAGGTGCCTTCCGACTTCTTCCCTGCCTGAGGCCTGATCTGTGAAGAAGGCTGTGCTTGGCCGCTGGAAAGAAAGTTCCAGGGGCCTGAGGTTGAGAGGCTGCGGTTACACGTGGCCGTGTCCCTGCACTGCCCCTCCCGTCTGTGGCCTTTCTGTTCACCCCAGCTGCTGTCCGCTCCCCTCCCTGCCCCCAAGTTTCTGCTGAGAGCAAAGCCCCTTTGTTACCTTCCCCTGCCCCCAAACCTCACCACCTGCTGCAGGATACAATCCCGGCTTTGTGTGGCCTGGCCGTTGTCCTGCAGCTGCCCCCCGCCCCCCCACTGAGGGCCTCTCTTTGAGGGGCTGTCATCCCAACTGCAGCCTGACCCAGTGTGGGAAGGGGGGCCGGGCCCAGAGCCAGGTGCTGGGAAGGGGGAGGTGACCAGGGGTTTGTCCCCAGATCCACAGAACTTGCTGAGCAGGGAGGGGAGAGGTCCTTGGAGACGGGGGTGAGGGCCCTGCGCGAGGAGCTGAGCAGCCTTCAGGGACTCAGTGTGGCCCTGATGGGGGGGTGCGCGTCGGGGACTTGTTGCCTTCTGTTTTCTGGGCAGTGCACATGCCGGGCCAGGGCAGTGAGCCGTGTGTCAGGGAGGGTGGGGGAGTGGCGGGTAAGCAGGGGCGTGCAGAGCGGTGTAGCAGGGCGGAGGCAGAAGAGAAAAGCTTAGAAAGGGCACAGCTCGGCGTGGCCACTCGCGGAGACTTTCCTCCGTTTGGCTTCCTTGGGCTTTTACCCGCAGGGCACCTGCTGGCCTGTTTCCAGGCACATCCCACCTGAGCACCCTGTTGGAGATGGGCCGTCAATACACGGGGGGCCTGCCCCCCATTGCTGTCCTCCGTGCCCCCCCGTCCCCCGTCTCCTCGGGTCCCCTTCCCCTCAGATCGCGCTCTGCTGACTGGGACCACGCCCTGAGCCCCGGTGTGGCTGGGACAGAGAAAGTCCCCAGGGATATTGGAGGGGCTGCCGTGTGGCTCTTTGTGAAGCACCCACCAAAAATTGAACCCTTTCTGGGACCTGAGGTGATTGTCAGGTCCCAATACCCCTTGGAAGACAGAATGGATCAAGTAGCACCATTTTGATGGGGCTCAAGGGTGTAGTGTATGTACGGCTCTTGTGAATGAGGCCGGGCCCACGCTCTGTCCTCACCTTGAATTGTGGCCCCGGGCTCTGGCCCCTCCGAGTTTTCCCATATTGAGGTAGCCTCCCCCTTCGCCAGCCCTCTGAACTTCGTTAGGGGGTCCTTGTATCTCCAGCGGGCGAGAGGCTTCCCCAAGGCGTGGGACACGCAGGAACCTGGAGGGAAGAGGTGGCGTGAGGGCAGGAGCAGCAGCATCCATCAGGGCCCTCCCGGTGGGGTCTCCCCTCCCGTCTTCTGCTGCCCGCTTTTCCTCTGCACCACCAGCAGCTTTTAGTGTCTGTACGAAACCACAGTAGGAGCGCATAGCAGACCCCTGTTGGGGAAATAGCATCAAAAACCAAATCTCCTGCCAAGTCAGCAAAGCTCCCCACAGAAGGAGGAGAGAAAGAGAAAAGAGAACAGGTTGGGGTTTTTTTAATCGAATAAGCATTAAACCAGAAAGAGATGCCCATCACAGGCCATCTGCTAAGAGATGGGGAACACAGAGAGGTCTCACTCTGGTGCGCAGCCCAGCAGAGGCAGCCTGCCCCTCACATGCTCTCAAGACAAAGCATAACTAGTCCTCGCGCAAGAGCCCTTCCTCGATGGTACCATTTGTCACCATGGTTCACCGTGAACTCACCTGGTGACTGGGGTAGCCACCTGTGTTTGCTCATTGCCTTTGTGCAAAGAAAAGTACATGGCTTCTATATGACAGGAGGTGGGTTCACAGCTTGGAGCCAGGAGCCCGCAGAAGTCAGGCTCCCCCCCTCCCTTCTGTGGGGAGTGGGACCCAGGGTCACCATCTCCCTTGCTGTTTACCTATCAGAGAGGTGGGTCCTGGGGCCTCAGGAAAGAGGCCTGGGTTGTAAAGCTGGCAAGAGGCTTGTGTGTCTTTTAAAAAGATTTACGTGCATCTCCAAGGGCAGAGAATAACTCACAGTGACCACTTTTCTGAAGTAAATGCCCTAAAAGAAGGGGGGGCTCTTTCCCTTTTTGCCCCAGTGAAAATGATTTATGTATTTATGTATTTATTTTTTTTTTAATGTTTTATTTATTTTTGAGAGAAAGATAGAGACAGCGTGAGCAGGGGAGGGTCAGAGAGAGAGGGAGTCACAGGATCCGAAGACAGGCTCCAGGCTCTGAGCTGTCAGCACAGAGCCGGATGTGGGGCTCAAACCCACCAACTGTGAGATCATGACGTGAGCCAAAGTCAAACGCTTAACCGACTGAGCCACCCAGGTGCCCCTGATTTATGTATTTTAAAAAAATTTTTTTAAACTTTTATTTGTTTTTGAGAGATAGACAGAGCATGAGTGGGACCGAGGCAGAGAGCGAGGAAGACACAGAATCCGAAGCAGGCTCCAGGCTCCGAGCTGTCAGCACAGAGTCGGATGCCGGGCTCAGACTCCTGAACCGTGAGATCGTGATCTGAGCCTAAATCAGATGCTTAACCGACTGAGCCACCAGGCACCCCGACTTACCTATTTTTTAAATTCATTTTTGCCCTTTGCCCCTGCCCCCACCTCTCTTGGCAGGTCCCAGGTTCCCAGCCTGGGTCCCTGTCCCTGGAGTGGCTGTTGGAAGGGGACCTGGGAGAAGGAGGGGTACGCCCTTGGGATGGGGCTTCTCGAGGGACAAGGTGAAGAGCAAGAGAACACGGCTTTTCGGGAGGTGAACTGGAGGAGCCCCTCTGTAGCAGTGGGAGGAGCCGAGCATCTGGGGTGTGGGGGAGCAGACACCCCAGCTCCTCACTCGGGCCTTGCGAGTGTGGGCGCTGAGTGGGTATAGGTGTGTGAAACGAGACCCCAGTCCCTAGGAGAGGCGGGGCAGGGAACCATGCCACTCCCCCCCCCTCAGCTGTAGCATCCCCTCTGGGCCGGGGGCTCCCTCCCAGACCCGGATTCAGCAGGGAGCACACAGCAGCCCGACTTCTCCATGATGGGGGATGGGCAGGCCAGTAAATACCGCATCGGGCGGTGAAAAGTCCCAGAGGAGCACGAAGAGGAGTTGGGGCTGTGAGTTAGTACACGGTCACCCGGGGAGACCGCTGTGAAGGCGCGTTTAGGCAGAGACCCGAGAGGCAAGAGGCGAGGCGGGGCTCTGGGTTAGAGGGTCCGAGGCTGGGGCCCCCAGCAGCGTGGCCTGCCCCGGACGGTCAGGATGTGTCCAAAGCCCTGAGCATTAAAAATAGAAAAGAGGGGGCACGTTGGGGCTCAGTCGGTTGAGCCTCCGACTCTTGATTTTGGCTCAGGTCATGATCTCACAGTATATGAGTTCGAGCCCAGGGTCAGGCTCTGTGCTGACAGTGCTGGCAGTGTGGAGCCTGCTTGGATTCTCTCCCCCCGCCTCTCCCCCACTGGTTCTCTCTCTCTCTCTCTCAAATAAATTAAAAAAGAAAAGAAAAGAGATGAGCCCCAGATCGGTGAACTCTTTAACCAGCATTCCACGTGGCCTGTGCCTGATCTCACATGGAACAGGGGTGGAAGGGGACTTTGCAGGAGTGGGGCCGGCGGCTTGGGAGGGTCAGTTCTGCCTTCCAGGGTGTCTGCACGAGCACTCAGGAAGGTCTCAGGACTCAGCTGCGTGTCCTGGGGTGCCGTCTCTCACCCTCCCCTGCCCGTGGGCTTGAGGCTCCGCTGTGGGAGTTCGAAGACCTGGGGCCTCACTCGGCGCCACCGTTCAGCCGCCCCTGTGACTCAGGGCAGGTCAGTGGCCCTCCCTGGCCTCAGTTTCCTCCTCATAAAATGAGGATAATTCCTGCCTAGCAGATATGTGCGCCACTTATAATAGCCCCGCGCTTTCAACTGAGGTCATGGGCAGAGAAGCTCTTAAACACGAGGGAACGTGTGAGGGCGGGAGGACGGGGGCCCTGCTTGGCCCTTGTCCCGCCTGCCAGCTGCCCTCCCATTGCCCCGCCTGCCAGCTGCCCTCCCATTGCCCCCTTCGCGCCCGCAGACGGCAGAGCTGGTGCTCCGGAGGCCTCCGTGAATGCCAGCGGCCTGCTGGCGCGAGCACAGGTGAGGGAGCACCGGGGGGGTGGGAGCCGGCTGCGGCCTCCTCTTCCAGGCTGCCCCCCCGCCCCCCTCCCCCGCCATCCTGCCACTGAGTGTGCGGTGTCCGCTTCAGCTCAGGTCACCCTCTCATGGTTCGTGAGTTTGAGCCCCGCATCGGGCTGTCCGCTGTCGGTGCGGACTCTGCTTCAGATCCTCTCCCCTCCCCTCTCTGCCTCTCTCTCTCGCTCAGGAATAAACATTAAAAAGAGAATGGAAAGAAGACAGACTGTGGGAGCTAATAAAACGACAAAGGCCGCTGTGACTCACTAGGCAAGGGGACGCGTGCACACCCGCGTAGGAGGCCACATGCCAGGGCGAGCGGGTGCTTGCCAAGTGCTGGCATGAGGGGTGCGTGGCGGCCGTGCGGACCTAACACTGAGAACAGCCCTCCGGGTGGGACGGTCCCTGCTGGGTCTCCATCGGGGAAGTGCAATTTGGTCCATTAAGGCTTCCTGGGGTCACTCAGAGTTCGCGGTCCATTGGGAGGAAATAGGCCATCAGTTTGGGTGTCTCCCAGGCAGGGTCCTGTGAGTGGAAAGTCCTGTGCTCTCAGCAGAAGATGCCTCCTCCCCCCCCCCCCCCCCAGCATCCCCAGCCTCCTGGGGAGGGTAGAGCCACCCTGCTGCAAAGTGGCTCTGGCCCTGGGAGAGGGGAGCAGGACCCATCCCTAGACATGCCGCCCCAGGCTCAGTGACGCGGGTTCCTTTACCTCCCCTCCCTCCAGAGCCCCAGCCCTCCCCCGTAAGCATCGCAGTGAACCTAAGACGGAGACAAATCAGCTGGTAGGGTAAATACCAGAATCTTCCAGCTCACGGGGGCCAGTGTGATGTGTGGACACCCCGCGTTCCGGGGCTGGGTCCTGACTCAGACTTCCGTGAGCGGCACCCACTGCTGCCATGTCACTTTGAAGGCTGAGTCCTCAAGGTGTGTGTGTGTGTGTGTGTGCGTGTGCTCGTGCGCGCGTGCGATGCTGACATTACCATAATTCTAGGAACACCGAGGACAGATGGTTCCATATATTTTAGCAGAAGGACCCTTTTCCCAGGGAAACTCCTAAGGAGAATCCTAATGCAGGCAGGAGAGGCAGGGTCAGCCAGGGCCCTTGCCCCGGCCTGTGGCAGCTTCTGAGGTACCCTGGGGTCTTAGGGAAGAGGTGGAAGAATTCTGGCTTTGACTGGGGGGGCTCTCGGCCTCGCACAGGCTCCTGCCACCTGCTGGCCAGGCTTAGGGAGGACTCTTCCTGGCTGGCCCCTGTTCCAGGTAATTAAGAGCTTACCTTTGTTGTTCTTTTTAACTAGAGAGAGAGAGAGAGCAGGCAGAGAGGGAGAGAGGAGAGAAAGAGAGACTCTCCACTAAGCACAGGGCCCGATGCAGGTCTCAATCTCATGAGAGTTGGGGGGATCTGAGCACCTTTTAATTTCCATTTATTTTACATGTTTTTTTCCTTATCATGGTGAAATATACATAACATGAAAGTCACCATTTTAAGTAGTTTTAAGTGTACAACGCAGTGGTAGTAAGTACATTCACACTCTTGTGCAAGCATCTCCCCACCATCCGTCTCCAGAACATTTTCATCACCCCAGAAACTCTGGGGAGCAAGAAGTCCCCATGGAGCACCTTTTCATTTTATCTGTACCATTTAGAATTTTTATTTATTTTTTTAAAATATTTTTTATTTATTTCTACGAGAGAGAGCGAGACAGCGTGAGCAGGGGAGGGTCAGAGAGAGAGGGAGACACAGACTGAAATAGGCTCCAGGCTCTGAGCTGGCAGTCAGCACAGAGCCGGACGCGGGGCTTGAACCCACGAACCGTGAGATCATGACCTAAGCGAAAGTCGGACGCTTAGCCGACTAAGCCACCCAGGCGCCCCTACCATTTAGAATTTTTAAAAAGTAACCTTTTCAAAAAGTTCCCCGAGGAGCAGAACCTGTTTACGGGCTCCTTCCACAGGTAGGCCAAGGCCCATCTTGCACTACCCCCCGAGCCCTGGGGGAGAGGTCCCAGGGCGTGTACCTCACAGGGCTTGCACGCACGCCGCCCAGCACACATTTGTATCTGCTCTGGGCCCGACAGCGGTGGACAGGAACATTCTCTGGGCTTTGAGGCCGGGGCCATCGTTTTGGCTGAAGAGGGTGAGCCCTCTCAGCCATCAGCCACCATGATGAATGTCAAGGTCAGGTTTAATGAGAGCAAGGCGGTGACTTTTATGGGGCTCTGGGGCATTAACTGGGACCCCGTCGCTTGAGTATATTTTTGGATTCACTACCCACCCAGTTGGGACACCGAACCCTGTTAAACACTTCTGCTGACCAACACTTCAGTGCGTCTAAAGAAACCTTCTTATAATCCAGCAAACTCCTTCCACTTCCTGCCAGTGTGCGACTGAGCTCACCACTCTCCCCTTCACATCATCATTTCTCACAGCCAAGCACCTGCGGACGCCTCACAAGGCCGTTTTGCCGAGAGGAAAACTGGCCCCTCACAGGTGCTTTCTGTGACCCCCATGTTCCCAACCTATCCCCGCGGTCACCGTGTCTGCTTCCCGGTCCTTGTGATGGGCAGTGAGGCTATGGAGCGGGGCAGGACCCTCTGACCCTGGAACCAAACGCTGCCAGATCCTAACTGAAGCTTTCTTTGTATTTCTTAAAATATTTTAAAGGTTTGAAAACTATATTGAATAGTCTCATAAAAATTCAAACAGTGCAGAGGAGCGCCTGGATGGCCCAGTCGGTTGAGCGTCTGACTCTTAGTTTCAGCTCAGGCCGTGATCTCACGGTGGGTGGCATCGGGCTCTGCGTCGGGCTCTGTGCTAACCACGCAGAGCCTGCTTGGAATTCTCTCTCTCTCTCTCTCTCTCTCTCTCTCTCTGTCTCTGTCTCACAAAATAAATGAATAATCATAAAATTAAAAAAAAATTCAAACAATGCAGGTAAAGCAGGGGCCCCCTCTGACCTCTCCAGTCTAGCCCCGTGTCTACAGGGTGGCCGCCATTGTGAATCGTCCTGGACTGTGCGTATGGACGTCCATAGTTTTATTTTTCACAATTTGGCTCAGACGATACTGTTTAGCAGCCTGTGTTTTGTTTTCTTCATAAAATGTTTCAGAAATCTTCACGCCACAGTATATTGCTTTCATATTCATTTTTTTCCCTCTTAATTTATTTTAAGAGAGAGAGAAAGAGTGCATGCCAGCAGGGGAGGGGCAGAGAGAGGGAGAGAGAGAGAAGTGGCTGCACCATTCTGCATCGCCTCCAGCAGCGGGTGACAGTTTCCGTGGCTCCACATCGTCACCCACGTTCGGCATCGGCCGTGTTCTGGATTTGGGCCATTCGAAGAGGTGTGCAGGGGTGGTATTTTAGCTTCCAATGGTGCAGAAGCCAGATTCTTCCTGTATCATTTTTAGAGTCTTCTGGATGATTTATGCACATCAGAAATTTTATAATTTGCTTCGTTAGGATTACACTGAACATAAACATTGTTTTGGAGCAAAGAACTTCCTTCCTTGTCATCTAGGAATATGATGTTTCCGTCCTTTTAGTTACCTTTTCTTTAGCCCTCCAATAACGTATAAGGGTTTCCTTTATATGTTTTTTTTTAAGTTTATTTTTTTGAGAGAGAGAGAATGTGTGTGCGTGCACAAGCAGAGTAGGGGCACAGAGAGATGGAGAGAGAGAATCCCAAGCAGGCAGCTTCCCAAGAGAGTCATCTGCTCAGAACCCGGTGTGGGGCTCGAACTCATGAACCACGCGATCATGACCTGAGCCAAAATCAAGAGTCCGTCGTTTCACCTACTGAGCCACTGAGACGCCCCTCCTTTATATAAGTTTTGCATGTCTATCAGGTATTTTCCCAGTTACTTTATAGCTTTTATCGCCATTTTTAAAAACTTAGGAATATTTATATGTTTTTATATCTGGCAATCTTGCTGAAACTTTTATTTTTAATATTTTGTCAGGTTCTTTTGCACATTCTAGGTTAATAATTATCCGCAAGTGATGCTTTTCCTTTCTCACATTTATATATATTTTTCTTTCTTCCCCTTATGCCCTGGCTAGTTCCGCAAGGACGATGTTGAAGAGTGGCAGCGATGGTGAGCGTCATCTTCTCTCTAACTTGGGTGCGTTTTTGATCTCGCCTTTGGTTATAATATTTGCTGCAATCTCTAGTACAGCTTGTCAACCTAGGAAAGTTTCCTTATTTCCTAGTTTGCGAAGAGCTTCCTCCCTCCCGCCTCCCTCCATCCTTTCTTCCTTCTCTCCCTCCAGAAATGACGTTGAATTTTCTCCTATGACATTTTTCATGTGTTGAGATTGTAGAAGGTTCTTCATGTTTAAAAAGTCACTGTTGGGGTGTCTGGGTGGCTCAGTCGGTTAAGCGTCCGACTTCAGCTCAGGTCATGATCTCACGGTTCGTGGGTTCGAGCCCCGCGTCGGGCTCTATGCTGACAGCTCAGAGCCTGGAGCCTGCTTCAGATTCTGTGTCTACCTCTCTCTCTGACCCTCCCCTGCTCACGCTGTCTCTCTCTCTCTCTCTCTCAGAAATAAATAAAACATTAAAAAAAAATTTTTTTTTAAAGTCACTATCATGAACTATATTGAGCCATCTTTGCCTTCCTGGGGAAGATCCCATGTCAGCTTGCTTTGCCAATGTTTTTGCTTGTTGGTGTTTGGCGTCTACTTTCAAACATTAAACCTGTAGTTTCCTGCCACTCTGCCCTTGACTTTGTACACACTGGGTTATGCTAGCCTGCGGGCTCCCTCCCCCCTCCCAGTCACTGTCACAGTTTATGTAAGCTATGGATAAACCTTTCCTGGAAATTTTAGGAGAACCTGTTTTTATCATTAAGAGGACTGTTACCCATTTTCGAGGCAGAACGTTAGCCGTCTTTTCTGTCTCTTTTAGCATTTTCTTTCTCATTTCCTCCTGACTTAGTTTTGTTCATTTATATTGCCTCACAAAATCATCCTTTTTACATAGATTTTTCAAACTGATACAACATTTACGCATTAGGATTTTTAGAATCCTTTTTATATCTCTGTGTTCCCTTAATCCTATTATCTCTGCTTTTATCTTTATTAATTGCTTCTTCCTACTTCCTTTGGGTTTACTTCATTGTTTTTTTATATTGGAACTTATTTAGAGTTTCTTTGTTTTGTCCACAACGGTTTTATTTCACCTACTTTTTAAAAGTTTATTTTTGAGAGAGAGAGAGAGGGAGGGGCCGGGAGAGAGAGGGGGACAGAGGATCTGAAGCAGGCTCTGCAAGGCCAGCAAAGAGCCCAATGCAGGGCTTCGACCCACAAACTGAGAGACCATGACCTGAGCAGAAGTTGGACACTTCACCGACTGAGCCACCCAGGCGTCCCTCCTATTTCACCTACTTTTTACTGAATGTAAACTTTTTGTTGAAGTGTAACACAGAAAAAGGGGCAGACCACAAGTTCTATAAATTCTTACACAGTGAACATGCTCCCGAAGCCAGCACCCGGATCGAGAAAGAGAACATTTCCAGAACACCAGAAGGCCCTCAGGGTCCCTTCTAGCCATGACACTGTCCATAGGCTGGCCCTTGTCCTGACTTCTAACTCACTGATTAGCTTTGCCAGCTTCTGAGCTTCCTCTAAGCGGAATCACAGGGTCTGTATTTAGTGTCTGTGGCAGTCCTTTTCCATCACGGCTGAAGTCCACGAGCAAGGGGAGCAAACAGCCTGTAGACCTGAGCTCACAGCAGCGTGTGGGGGTGGCGGGGCTCCTGTGAGTAAAGCAGCCTGGGTTTAATAAGGACGGCATAGCACCTATTCGGGGTGCTTAGACCTTTCCGGGCCACTTTCTTGTTCTTGTTTTGTTGAAGAAAGAGTGAAGTTCCCGAACGGCCACGGTCCAAGAAGGTGGGGTGCTTAGGCACCGATCTGGCTGCCATGGAGAGCCCGGCAGAGGAGTGGAGCTTAGGTACCCCAACACCGAGGGACCGGGCGTGCACTCACTTTGCAAGCTCCCGGCACACGGATCCACCTAGAAAAGGAATGAGATGCAGGCGGCTCAGTCAATCGAGTGTCTGACTTGTCATTTCAGCTCAGGTCACCATCTCGTGGTTCGTGAAACCGAGCCCCACACTGGGCTCGGTGCTGGCAAGGACAGTGCAGAGCCTGCTTCGTATTCTCTCTCTCTCTCCCTCTCACTGCCCCTCCCCTGTTTGTGCTCTGTCTCTGTCTCTCTCAAATAAAAATAAACATTCATTTTAGAAAAAGAAGGAGATGCTTTGAAGCTTGGCCGTTCTCCGCTCAGTGGGAAGAGGTCATTGGCTTGGTTCCTTTAACTTTCCTGCATCTCAGGGCCTCAGCGTCGAGAAAGCCGGCCAGCAGGTGTGGCAGCCTCCCTTCCTCTCTGGTGGCTTTTCCTCTGCCCTCCGGCACACCCCCACCTGCCCTTACCTTACAGGCCTTTCTCCTGTCCCTGCTCTCTCCTTTATCCCCCCTCACCTCCCCCTCAGAGCTTCCTTCTGCATTCCTTCTGCCCGCCTTATTTCCTTTGCTCTGCCTTCCCGGCCCTTCTTCTCCTCCGTCCCACGAGCAGTGAGTGATCCTCCGCATCCCCTCTCCCTCTGTCCCCAGCAGGAGATGGGCCTGTGATGAAGATCAAGCAAGAGAAGCCCGAGCGGCTGGTGCCGCAGGCCGTGCTTTCCGAGAAGGATAAGGAAAACATCTTCCAGCAGCAGCATCGGAGCCTCCCGCCATGCCAGACCGCTGGGAAGCCTCGGGCCTTGGGGGGACAGGAGGAGACTGGGGGTCCGAGGTGGGCCCCTCTCCCTGAGCAGGCCGGGGAGCTGGCGGGCCGGGCTCTCTCCGCCGGCGAGGCTCACTTCGTGTGCCTGGACTGCGGGAAGCGGTTCAGCTGGTGGTCGTCCCTGAAGATCCACCAGCGCACCCACACCGGGGAGAAGCCGTACCTGTGCGGCAAGTGCGGCAAGAGCTTCAGCCAGAAGCCCAACCTGGCGCGCCACCAGCGCCACCACACGGGCGAGCGGCCCTTCTGCTGCCCCGAGTGCGCCCGGCGCTTCAGCCAGAAGCAGCACCTGCTCAAGCACCAGAAGACCCACGCGCGGCCCGCCACCCACTCGTGTCCCGAGTGCGCGCGCTGCTTCCGCCACCAGGTGGGCCTCCGCATCCACCAGCGCGCGCACGCCCGGGACCGGCAGGGCGCCCGCGCGGGGCTGCAGGACTTGCTGCGGGCCGCCGCCGCCCGCAGGGGCTGTCGCCTGCGGCCCGGGCCGCCGCGGGGCCGCCCCGAGTGGGCCTGGCTGGGACTCTGCCAGGGCTGGTGGCGCCAGGCTGAGGCCCGGGCCGCAGTCGCCGCCGCCGCGGGGCCCGGCGAGCCGCGCCAGTTCATCTGCAACGAGTGCGGCAAGAGCTTCACGTGGTGGTCGTCCCTGAACATCCACCAGCGCATCCACACGGGCGAGCGGCCCTACCCGTGCCCCGAGTGCGGCCGCCGCTTCAGACAGAAGCCCAACCTGACGCAACACCAGCGCAACCACACGGGCGAGCGGCCATACCCGTGCCCCGAGTGCGGCCGCCGCTTCAGCCAGAAGCCCAACCTGACGCGGCACCTGCGCAACCACACGGGCGAGCGGCCCTACCCGTGCCCCGAGTGCGGCCGCCGCTTCAGCCAGAAGCCCAACCTGACGCGGCACCGGCGCAACCACACGGGCGAGCGGCCCTACCCGTGCACAGAGTGCGGCCGCAGCTTCAGCCAGAAGCAAAACCTGACGAGAAACCGGCGCAACCACACGGGCGAGCGGCCCTACCTGTGCGCGGCGTGCGGCCGCGGCTTCAGCCAGAAGCAGCACCTGCTCAAGCACCAGCGCACGCACCGCGGGGCCCTGGCGCCCGCCCCCGGCGCCCAGGACCAGGCGCTGTAGCGCGCCGCGGACCCGAGCGGACTCGCGGTGGGGGCGGGAGGGGATGTCTGTGGCGGTGCGCGTGGCCAGGAACGGTGGCTTCTGCAACCCCGGGGGGTAAACCCTCGTCCAAAGGCGATTTCCTCGAGGCTAGAGAAAAGAATTCCAGAAGCATCCCAAAGGGGGCAGGTAAAGGTCCAAGTGTGGGCTCAGGGAGGACGTAGGATGAAACATCCTCACTCTGGAGCCCGGATGTGCCCGTCGGTCCGTCGGAGGTGGGACCCCAGGCCGCACGCACCCGGGGAGGGGGCTGTCAGGGCTCTGGGAGAGGCTCCCTGGTGTGAAATGGCCCAGGGCTGGACTTGATCAGCTGTAGCAGCAGCCGGTCACGTGCAGGCTGCGGGATGGCCAGGGGCCAGTCTAGTGGGGGAATTTTAACAGACCGATAGCAAGGACAGAAGCCAACAGTCGTGGCTGAGGAGGCGCAAGAGCAGTTTCAATGCCAAGGGCAGTGCCCGGCACTTAATGGCTATTCAGTACATGTATTTGGAAGGACCGAATGGTTCCGCGGCCCTTCCCAACCGTGAGTGCCCCAAAACCCAGAGTGCTGTCACAGTGGGCTGGACATTGGGACTGGTATGTGTGTGGTGGCCGGACTGGGGTAGGAGAGGGGTGGTGGCGTCTGAGGTTCAGTAGCTTGGGGAGGGGCCCCCAGCAGGAAGGAAGCACGTGTGGCGCCCGCCAGTGGCCGGCCCCGACTTGGCTCTTCCTCAATGTCAGTGTTGCAGAAGAGAAAAAATGAAGAATGGACGGTCTCACGTGGTCTCATTGTCCTTTGCAAGCTGCCCTTCGGAACTCCAGGTCTGTGTGTGCTCTGAGGCATCCCTCTGCCCCCAGGACCGGGACAGGGAGCTTGACCTTGAGCATAGCAGCTCCCCATGCCCGGTTCTTGCTGGGGGTGGAGGGCAGTCTTCCCCTCTCCAAACCAGTTTGGTATCTTCCCACACGCCCTCCTCAACTTCTAGCCCCCAGAGGTTCCTTCCAAAACAAGGACGCAGGGCTCCAGTCTGGGCCTCTGGCCTCGCCTAGGAGGGGAGGGTGGGTGTTGGGGTACCGGGGCTGGAGAGGTGGGAGGTGAAAGAGGAGACCCTAGCATTCCGTAGGAGGGCGGACTGTGTCTGCCTGCGTCCCAGGGACCCGCCGGTTTCTCTGAACTCAGGGAAGTGTTACCTTTTCCAAGAGCTGCTGGATTTAGCACCACTTCTGGTCACCATGTTCTCAGGATCTGTTAGGTCCCCTTCACCCCGCAGGAGCCCTGATCATGGTAGCATCATGGAGAGACCTGTGGAGGTGGCTTTACTTGGGTAACAGGGCGCCAGTAATGGTCAGCGCTCGGCCGGGCAACCCCTGGTCCAGGTCTTCCACCGCGAACCCTTCTGTGTGAACTCTCCCACTGGGCGAGCTGTGCCCGGTTGTTGGCACTGATGTGAGAGTTCGGCTCTCAATCCCGCAGGGTTTTCCTAGGCACCAGGTGCTGCCCTACCTCCCTATAATGCCTGTTCTTCCCCCCCCCCCCCGCCCCCACCACAACTCCTGTCCCAGCTCATCCGGCTCTGGGAGGCCAAGTGCCCTGGATCTCAGCGACACCTGCTTTGAAACACGGGCAAAGCTCAGGAGTCATCTGCTTCTTCCACTTTTCCACTCAGCAAATCCTGAGACCAGCTCCAGCAAAGCACACCTCCTCCAGGAAGGCGCCCCAGAGTACCATTCCTGCATATTAGAAAGCTGCCATCTGCAAGGATGGACCTGCGAGTCCCTGGAGCCTTGTCGAATCACGTGCCTGAGGGGCAGTGCAGGCAGACAGACCTCAGTCAGATGGGAGTTTCCGTAGGATAGAATGAATGGGCCATTGTCCACAGATGGCCAGCGTTTAATGATCAAGTCAGTCAAACAGAGGTGTTGCTAGGAGTGTGGTTAACGAGGCCTAATTGCTGCTTGCTTCCCCACGCACCTTCATGAGGCTGTCTATTCACTAGCCCGAGGTGAGGTGACCGATCCTCACAAGTGGTGCTTTGGGTCACAAGGGGGATAGGGCCCCATCCATTAGAGCGAAGGATTACTGCGATGTACGCCCCATTGACCAGTCGGGGGATGGGACACACTGGTTCACTAAACAAGCCTACTGTGTGCCAGGCACTGTACCAAACTGGAGGGACGCTGCAACGAAGAAGCTATTGTCTTAGCGCAGGCCGCAGTAACGAAGTGCCACAGGCTGGGGGCTGAGACAACAGACGTGTTTTGCTCACAGTCTGGAGGCTGGGAGTCCAAGATCAAGGGGCTGGCAGATTCAGATCCTGGTGAGGGCCCACTTGCTGGCTTGTAGACGACCACCTTCCCTCTGTGTCCTCAGATGGTAGGGACAGGGCTGCACTCTGGCGTCTCTCCCTCTTCTCGCAAGGACACTAATCTCGTCAGGAAGACCCCAGTCTCACAAACTCATCTAAACCCAACTGGCTCCCAAAGGACCCATCCATCACCTTGGGGGGTCAGGGCTTCAATATATGAATTGAAGGGGGGACACAGTTCAGCCAATAGCAGTCAGGGCCCCTCTCCTTGAGGAGTTCATGAACCTTCATAGGAAAATCGCTAATACACAGAACAGTCTGTACAGTCAGCTCTGGAAGAAACTGCCCCGGCCCCCAGCTCCCTTACTAAAGCTTCCTCGTTGGCTATGTCATTTAGCATCACTGCGAGTCAGTGACCGTGGCAGGGCAGTGATACAGGAAAGCGGGATGTTGCAGTGGGACTTGTCCACCAGGTCACGTTTCATGTTACAAACCAACGGCAGGTCACAGGCCTCCTGTTAGCCAAGCCCCTTCCACCGTCCCAACCCCAGGCTTCTCCCACCCAAGGGGGGCCCAGCATTGTCAACTTCCGTTTCCATCCCCGCGCGTTTTGGAATAATAAAACTCGGCCAGGGAATACTTAGGAAGAGGCACGTCATAAAATCAGACAGGGAGGTCAGATCTCTGGTTTACAATCGCGAATACTCCAGAGCATGAGGAGAGAGAAGTTCCACAGAGGAACAGAAAACCACCACGAGCCAATCAGGATCTTTAAGGACTTCTGTCCACATCCGGGTAAGTGCAGGTCTGTGGCGGGGACCCTGCAGCCAATCTTCCAACGGGCCGGATGAGCCTGGTAGAGCTGGGGTTTCCAGAACTGCCTGTTATCATCCTCATGTGAGAAGCAGGCTGGGAGCTAAGAAAAAGGAACCAGGAGCTCAGAAAATGGTGGTTCTTTGGGAAGCAGCATAAACTTCCAGTCAGGAGGCAGCCGGCAAGGTGGCCAGGGTTTGGCTTCCTGCTGCCCAGCCCCAGGGAGCTGCCCGAGGGGGAATAGACTGGACTGCCTCCTGGCAGGTGCACCCACAGGGAGACAGAGGGACCAGCAGGGGTTTGGTAGATGGCCCCTGGTGGGCGTAGGGTATGCTTCTGAGACCTTTCCCTTTTATTTAAGTAATTTGGCAAAACAAAACAAAAATGACCTTTTGGCAAGCGGAGGAGGGTTGGGGCTGAAAATAGTATGTTCTCACGTGTCCGCGTTCTTACTGGATCATGGCAGAGAGGAGAGGGAAATGGATGATATCCTATAGCATGTCCTTTGGGTTAAAAAGAGAGTGGTGTCTCCTAGTTTACTCGGATTTGGAGGGAGTGGTGCCCTAGACAGGCGCTAGCCAGTAGAACTTCCTGTGATGGTGAAAACATTCCATAACGTGCTGTCCCATACCATAGCCACCAGCCACGTGTGGCTACTGACTACTCAAAATGTGGCTTATGAGGCTGAGAAACAGAATTTAAGATTTTACTTTATTTTAATGGCTTTAAGTGGCCACACATGGCTATTGAACAGTATAGCTCTAGGAATAATGCTCCTCCTGGGAAGGAATAGACATGTTGTGTCTCTCCCTGCCACCACCTAAATCTAGAAAGAGCTTTCTTTTGTTGTTGGGAGTAGTGGATAGAGTCAGAGAGTTCTGGGGCAAAATTCTTCTGCCTTTCCCATTTATGCTGTGGGACCCTGTGCCGGTAACCTGTAGTATAGTGCTGGGCACACAGCAAGCACTCAATAAATAGAAATTCTAATAATTACTTTAATAAACTCCATGTGTGGCTACCTGCACAGCATTTGTACAAGTGGAAGTTTACTATGGAAAGAGAAGAATGGGGTTTTCCCCAAACAGAGCTCCATCCCGCAAGGAGGAAGTCACCACCTGTGTTAAGTAGGCGGGCTGCAAGTTTAAGGACTTGGCTGAATTGATCATAGGTCACATCTTGGGTTTTAATGTCCAGGAAAGAGAAACTTTGGAGCAGATGAGACCTCGCACCCACACCCCCACATCTCCACCCGGGTGTCGGCGGTGTCTCCCAGCCCCCAATGCTGGGGCTGTAGCCTTCCCTGCAACCCTCTATTCCTTACATGACATTAGCACACGGGCTAGCTGGGGGGCCATCTCTTCTCTCCACGCTACCGGGTGTAGCTTGCAGACCTGCATTCATTCAACAGAGACTGACTGAGGAGCTATTCTCAGTCAATAGCTGGGCACTTGGGATACAGAGAGGCCCAAAACAGGATCCCTGACCTTTGAGGCGCTCAACCTGGTGGGAAAACAAAGGTGTGCTAAATCCCAATTGGAAGTCCGCACAAGGTGCTTTGGAAGGGGATGCTAGTGATCGCTTTGCTTTCCAATTCGGGGGGGTGGGGGTGGGGAGGGGGAGATGGGAGGAGCTAGTAGGGTGGGGGGAGTGGTTGCCCTGCTGAGCAGGAAAGCGCAGGCCATCCAGCCCAGAGCAGGGGAAAGCCTGAGGAAGGCTGGGCAGGTTTCTGCAGGAGCAGCTGTCCGGAGCTGTCCAGGGGAGCATGCGGGGTGATCTTCCGTCTAGCCAGCTCTGGGAGGGTGTGGGAGGGCCCTGGGCAGGGCCCCGCTGAGCCCTGCACACCTCTACCCACAGCGGGGACACAAGCCTGCTGTTCTCTGGGACACTTAGGCTGTGAGCAACCTAGGCCTTTGTTAGGGTCCAGTGTCCAGCTGTCACACGAGGCTGGTGGAGCCGTGGTGATTGCCATGCCGGCCACTAGCCCTGCCTGTATGAAGAGGCATGGCTTCATTTGCAAGATGTCTCCACGTCTCCTTCCTATTGTGTTCGCCACAGCTCGTGAGAATGGTGAGGAGAGGGCTGTCTGTTGTATTTGGGGGGGGGGGTTATATGTGTATGAAACCAGAGAAATGAGGCGACTCAGCAGAAGTCACACATGGGCAGAGCAGAGTTGAGGTCTCCAGGAGCCCATGGCCCTTGGCCTTGACGGGGTGGGTTTTAGGTGGTATTGTCTCCCTCCCATGCCCATCCCCCACCGTGTGCCTTTCATGTCCTTTCCAACTTGGCACTGCTTCCTTAGAAAGTGCTGCTAAAAATATGGGTGACATTCTCAGGTATATTGTTGTTTTTGCTTTTGAGAAACTTGGTCATTTACTAAATGTCCCCGTTTCTCCTGTAGCCTGCAGAAGAGATGAAAGCTGGTTGCTCTGGTGGGTGACAACTTTTACAAAGGGAGCTGGACACCTGGAGGTGTGGCTGTTCCCCGAGCACCGCACCAGCCCCTGGGTAGAGCGTGGGTACCAGTTATCAGTGGTTAAGGGGTGATTTTGTCAATGCAATGGGAACATATATCTTGGTGAATTCATTTCTTTCGGCTTCTCAGAATCCCCTCCCTGTTGCCTCTATTTTAAGTACCAGGGTCCTTGGGATGTCTAACTCATGAAGTCCCACATACCTCAGCGACTTGCTACAGGAGCAGCATGGATGGGGTGGGGTCGGGGTGGGTCTTCAAGAGGCTGAATGGATCTGCTGGGATAGACTGGTCCACAGAGCGGGATGTGAAAGCAGGCAGGCCTGAGCTTCAGGCCTGGTGTTGAGAATAAGGGATTGAGTTTATTTCCAGGTGCCCCCCACCTGGAATTCTACAATTCCCAGGCTTTGAAGGGCAGAGTGGCAGGGGCGACCGCACGGGGTTTGGAGGGCTGTGTCTCCCAGAGCCCCTCCCCAGGGGTGGCACCACCCCAGCTGTCACATCCACCATCTGTTGTAAGGAGCTCTGCTCCAGCCTCCAGCTGGCAGCTACAGGGGCCGCTGAGAAAAAGGCTACTTGATGTTCCTCTAGCACTTTTACCTTAAAATCACTGTCCCTTCCGGCCCCAGTTTATCTATGAAACGTAAATTCTGAGGCACTTTCTTTCTTACTCTGGACAAAATGATTTCCAATCACGATCACCACGCCCTGTTTCTGTTTGGGGGTTTGGTACCCTGGGGGGTGCAGGGGACAGTGAGCTGGGTGGTGGGCCTGTCTCCCCATCTGGGCTTAGAGCTGTGTGCATCTCCGGGGAAGCTCTCTGTGTTTCCATTTTATTTTCCCATCTGTAAAATAGGATAATGATACCTGTGTAACCGACACCGCACATGGTTATTGGAAGGCTCCCACGAGGTAATATATGGGAAAAGACTTTGTAAAAAGACAAGTAATGTATAGGTAAGGGGTATTATTATTGAAGGACAGTTGAAAGCTCGAATTCAGCCCAGCCCTGCCTAAAGAGGTGTGGTAGTGGCTCCTTTATGGGATATCTTTTTGTTTTTTTAATGTTTATTCATTTTTGAGAGAGTGCAAGCGGGGGAGGGGCAGAAAGAGACAGAGGATTCTAAGCCGGCTCTGCGCTGACAGCAGAGAGCCCAGTGTGGGGCTCCAACTCATGAAACGTGAGGGCATGAGCTGAGCCAAAGCCCAGCGCCCCCGCCCCCATTCTTTATGGGACATCTTTGGCCGGTCGGAAATGGGTCCAATTCTGAGGAGGTGGGGGGATCCGTAGGGGGATCACTTCTTCCTTGCACCCAGCCATGCTGGTGGCATAAACCGGGCCATAGAGCAGGGGGGAGGCTTTCGCAACCCCATTAGCTGGGCGGCTCAGACTCTGCCCCTTCGACGGCTGTCTCCCACCCATGACACCGCGCTCAGAGAGGCTCCGCAGCACGGGCTCCTGCCTCCGCCCCCTGCTCTCTCTTGCAAGGGAAGACTTGTACCGCCAGCGCCCCAGACCCTCCTGCTTCCTGGGCCCCCCGAGAGGGGGCGGGGGGGCAGTTCGAGGGCCCGGCCCAGGTAGCGCTGCTTTAGGATGAGGGAGGTGAGGATGAGGCTCTAGCTGCTGGTTCGGGGCCTCGGAGGATCCTGCAATGGGAATGGCTGAGGCCGGGGGGCTGGGGGAGTTGGGGTGACCCTCCCGGCGGGGCTTCCTGCTCCCGAAGCGGCTCCCGCCCGCATCCCTCTCCTGCCCCGGCGGGCGCGGCGCTCGCAGCCCTCCTTTCTCCGCCAGCCAGGTCGTTGGCGAGTTAGACCTCCCAGCCTCACGGGGCTGCTGTGCGGCTGCGGCGACGCTGGCGACTGCGGCGCTGCGGCGGAGACGGAGGGCTCGGGAGGCGGCGCCACGTGAGTCCCGGGCTGCCGGGGCCGAGGCCGCGGCGGGAGATTACCGTATTTATCGAGGCCAGTGCCGGACCCTTGGGGGCGGGTCACTGCGGGCGCGCTACCGTATTTGCCGGGAGCCGCGCAGACCCCTTCCGGGAGCGGGGAGCGCCGAGACTTAATTACGTATTTTTCCAGGGTCTCGTGGTCCTCCCGGGGGCGCCGCGGGAGCCGGAGGGTGGGCCGCCTCCGCGCCCCGAGGAGGCCGGGGCTTGCAGCGAGGTGGGGCGGGTTGCGGCAGCGGGGTGGGAGGCCTACGTATTTTCGCGGGGGCGAGGTTGCGACGCAGAGTTTACCATATTTCTCCTGGGGCGCTCTGGCCCCGGGAGTCGGCACGGTTGTGTGCGGAGGTCGGGTGGGTGGGGTCAGCCCTTTTGATTAATGCAGCTGTTAGATAAGGAGGGCGGTGCGGGAGGCTGGCCGCCTTTATGGGGGCGAGGGAGAAGGGGCGCGGGAGTCGCTGCGGGAGCGTTACCGTGTTTGTGCTGGGCGGCGCAGACTCTGGGAGAGAGCCACTGCCGGAGACCCGAGGAGCAGGGGCGCAGCCTGGGCTGTGAGTGCGGGAGGGATGGAGCAACTTGGGGGAGCCGAGGGTGGCCGTGGCTTTAGACCCTCTCCGTAGTGGGGGCCTTGGTCAGAGACATATGCTGGGGGACAGCGAGGAGGCTGTCCAGAGACAAGGCCAGGCTGAGATTGGCCAGGGTGATGGTCTGTCTTTGCAAATGTCAGTGCAGCCGGCGCGGGGGGGGGGGGGGGGGGAGGGGGGAGAGGAAAGCCTGTGGGTGGGGTCTAATGTAAGTAGCACTGGTCCCCTTCTCCAGGGTGTGTGTGTGTTCCGCCCTGGCCTGAGGGTACGGGGAGACAGAAGGGGGATCCCTGAGACCCCACTCTGCAGATAGATGGACTGAGGCTGTAGTGAGCAGTGAGATCTGGAAGTGTGGAGAAGGCCTGCACGGAGGTCTGGGTCCCTGATGGGGTGGAGGAGGGCGGGGGGTGCCGGCTCAGCCTGTCTGGGGCAGGCCTCAGTGCTCTGCAGGAATAGGATGCTTAGGTTTTTTAGGTGAGGAGCACGAGGGGAGTGGCAGCGGACAGTGGCCTATAGGAGCAGTGGCCCTTTGGGTGATCTAGAACTCTGCAGTGGTCAGGATAGTGGTGGTGGTCTTTTATGTGCGTGTGTATTTTGAGGGGGGTTTAGCTGGTGAGCGACACATCGAGAAGAGCTTTTGACAGTGAGTCGGGAAACTTAGGGCCTAGTCCTGGCTCACCTTGTGCGACCTTGGGCAAGTAAGGTGACCTCACTGTGCCTCGGTTACCCTGTCTATAAAGTAGGGTTCAGTGAGCCCGGCTCCTTCCTCGGGGTCGCTGTGAGGACAGTGGGAAACAATATAAGAGACCACGGTGCCACTGGGAAGAGAATCCTTAGAACCAGCATGAATGGGATGGAGCTGAACTTGGGATGGAACTGAACTTGGGGTTGTTTGCCGAGACTCGGGGTCAGGCTTCCATGTCTTGGGGATTCCAAGAGGAATCTAGCTGAGACCAGCCCCTCCCCCTCACCCCTCCCTTACCCCCCCAGGGAAGGTCACACTCCCTTTCAGTGATTTGCCAATCTTTTGCAGCCATGCCTCATTTTGATAAACAAAAAGCTGCTGCCTTTAATGTTTAATTGAGATTACTTTCAACTGTACAGGAGTTTTGTTTTCTTTCTTCTTTTAAGCTTTTCAAAAATATCTTTGAACCACCAGGGACCCCACCCTTCTCTCCAGATTGGGGATGCACCTACCTATCGCCCCCCCCCCCCTCCGTCCCCTACCTCGAGATTCTGGTTGGAGAGATAAGACATATGCAGGTGCTAACTTACAAGACTAGAAACCCCAGCATATTACCAGTTTGCATTTATTCAATGCTTTGTGTGGCAGGCTCGGTGCTTGCTGCTGGGGATAAAAGAAGGAAGCACGTCTGTCCTTAAGGCATGACAGGGCCGGGAGACCGAGGTGGCATGACTGACCTTCATACAGTGTGATGACTGAAGGTCACAAGCTTGGGCCACAGGGCTCAGGAGGGGCTGGAGGGGTCAGGGAAAGTTCTAGGAGGAGGTGAAGTTGAGAAAGGCCTCGAGGAGGGGCAGGATGTGATTTAAGGGTAGAAGAGAAAGAAGGGCTTTCCGGCAGGGGAACCTGGCTTGAACAAGACTGGAGGGGCGGATGCTGAAGTGTGGGAGGCCAGTGCAAGGTCCAATGTCCCTGAGCTTGGAGGCCGGCTGATCCTTGGATGCCCCCACGCCTGACTCCTCTCTCTCTCTCTCTCTCTCTCTCTCTCTCTCTCTCTCTGCTTCTATCTCTCCAGGGACTGGTGACTGCGGCTGGAAGTGCCCATGACAGAGCTGGCGTCCTCAGGGGGCGGGTCCCCTGCGGGGGACGGGGAGGAGGGTCTGGGGGACGAGCAAGGCCTGGTCATCCACCACCCCGCGGAGGAGCAGCCTCACCGCTGCCTGCTGTGCGGCCAGACCTTCTCGCAGCAGCCCAGCCTGGTGCGGCACCAGAAGGCGCACGCCGGGGTGGGCCGCGCGGCCGCCTTCGTGTGCCCCGAGTGCGGCAAGGCCTTCAGCGTCAAGCACAACCTGGAGGTGCACCAGCGCACGCACACCGGCGAGCGGCCCTTCCCCTGCCCGGAGTGTGGGCGCTGCTTCAGCCTCAAGCAGAACCTGCTCACGCACCAGCGCATCCACAGCGGCGAGAAGCCGCACCAGTGCGCGCAGTGCGGCCGCTGCTTCCGCGAGCCGCGCTTCCTGCTCAACCACCAGCGCACCCACGCGCGCATGCCCGCCCCGCACCCGCGCCGCCCCGGCGTGTTCGGGGAGCGGCGGCCCTACTTCTGTGCCCGCTGCGGCAAGAGCTTCGCGCGCGAGGGCTCGCTCAAGACCCACCAGCGCAGCCACGGCCACGGGCCCGAGGGCCAGGCGGCCCATTTAGGCCGCGTGCTATGATGCGCGCCAGGCCTGCCGCCGCCGGTTTCCTGCCCCAGAGCTGCGTCCGGGACTCCTGGAGATGGCGCTGGGCTGCGGCCCCCGTTCTGCATTCGATCCTGAGAGACGGGGAGGGCTGGCCTGGGGTCTGGAAGGCGTGGGCGGCTGCCCAGCCTGGGCCGCCTCTTTCCGAGTCTTCTCCAGCCTACGGCGGGTCGTCCACAGCTGCTTTGGGCCCCTGCATTGGTTTTCCTCCTCTGGTTCACCCGGCCTAGCGTAGGTGAGACCCAAGGCTCCACCAGACCCCCTCTCAGGCCTGGGCAGGGGTTGGGGGGGGGGCGGGGGCAGGCGAGGAAGGTGGTGTGAACTGGGCTCTGGGTCTATGACAAGCTTCTTACTAGATCTTCATTCCCAGAATGTCAGCGTCGAAAGTCACCTGGAGAGAGAAGGCCACTCTCCACCATCCCCAGCACCCCTCTCCCCGCTCAAGGTCTCTGACTCCAACACTTACTATCTGGTGTACTTGAGAAGTTATTGCACTTTATGACTCAGTCTGTTCGTCTGTTTAAGTTGTGTTTAAGAGGGACTTCTCCCTGGGATACTGTGAGGATTGTAGTCAACATTACTAGATAAAAGAAGGTGACATCGCTGGTCTGGAAACATTCATTGAGCACCCCAGTGTGCCGTGCACAGTGCTGTGCTCTTGGGAGGGGGCACTAACACAAAGCCTTGTCATCTGAGGGCTGACACTTGGTGCTCACACAGGTGATGCAGGCCATCCTAGCGGACAAACCAGAAGGTACTCTGGGAGGTGGGGGAGGTGATTGGTGGCACCCAAAGTGGTTTGATGGCTTGAACTGGGTCCGGAGGGTGAATAGAGGTGCTCTAGGGGGAGCAAGGGAGTGGGGGGCTTCCGAGGTGGGGGTCGCATAGAGGAGGCTCATATTTGCCCTACAAGGCACTTTGTGGCCATAGTCAGAGGACACCAAGGTGTTTAACGAGAAGAGCGTGGTGATTCAGACACGGGGTTCGAGGAGTAATGGAAGCACCTGAGGACAGATCCGAGTGGGCTGAGCAGGAGCGTCGAGGGTTGTGGGGTCATCTGGGCAAGAGTCCCCATGCTAAGGGGCTTCACCAAGGGGAGAGCTGGGACCGTCCCCCAGGCCCCTGATTCCAAGTTGGTGCTCCGAAGCTCAGGCTGCTGCTGCTGCTGCTGCTTCTTCTCCTTCTTTTCCTATTTCTACTTCTCCTCCGTTTCTTCCAGTTAATTTTATTTATTTTTAAATATAGTTTATCATCACATTGGTTTCCATACAACACCCAGGGCCGCACAGGCTTCTCCATCCATTTGGCAGGTGAAGAAACTGAGGCTCGCCCCGGCTTGCCCCCAATCTCACTTAGTACTTAGTGGGGTCACAGGGCAAGCCTGGCCCCCAAGACCCTTTGTCTCTACTGCCCTGCCCATAAGAGCAGCTCTTACTGGGGGGGAGATGGAGCGCAGAGGATGTGGGGATGTGACCAGATGCCGCGTGGTAGGTCCTGGGCGGGGGCGCCCCTGAATGACTGAGAGGGTCTTAGCAGCCATAGTAGCAGGTTGGGAAGAAGGGAGATGGGGGGCTCGGAGGGGACCTGCACTCACAGAGCCCTTGCTCTGTGCCCAGCCTGTGTCACCACCCCGCTAGGTGCTAGAGGCCTGTCCCTGCCCTTCCTTAGGGCTTTGTGGCTCCTTGGGGAGCAGTGGCCCTCGGCCTGCCACCAGGTGGCAGCTGCAGTGGGGACCAATACTTAGTGGCAGAGGTGAAGAGATTAACCCGGGACCTGGGACATCTGGAGCCCACATGCCCTAAACCCAAGTTGTGTCGGGTTCACGGGGTTGATAATCCTGGGCTGCTCCGTAGGGGGCCAAGAGGAATGGCTGAAAGCCCTGGGCAAGTGCAGCGTGGCCCCGTGGACCGCTCCCGCCCGGCCCCAGAGGGGTGGCTGAGGGGTGGCCGGGCAGGGCCGTGTCAGAGCCCCAGGCCTGACCCTGGTCTCTTTGTCTCCATGAACAGATGTGGAGTGGGCAGGACCTCCGGGCAGCGTGCGAGGCACATCTGGGCACAGACTCTGGAAATGGGGCCCTCTGGGGGCCTGCCCACCGTCATGAGGACATGTCCCCTAAGAAGACCTACCTCGGGAGGTGCCGTTCAGAGGGGACCCGTGCGTCCTGGAATTGGAGGCCGGTTCTGTGCCCTGGTGGACAAGCTTCCTGGTTGGGAGTCACGGCCAGAGAGGAGCTCGTGCCGGCTGCCTGGCCACAGACTTCCACTCCCGTGTGGCATCAGGGACAGAGCCTGAGTGGAGAGCCAGCTTCTCTGCGCCTGCCTGGCCCACCAGAGACAGCAAGTAACTGGCCTAAGAGAACACAGCAAGTCGGTAGGAGGCCTGGCTCTAGAGGCTAAGCCTTTCCCCCAGGTGTGAACCATACCTGCAAGGCTCCGCTTTCCTTTCAGAGCAACGGCTCTCGAGACTTTGGGGGTGGGAAGCCCTTGGAAACCTGACAAACGATATGAATCTTCTGGAAAATGCGCATACTCCTGTGGACCCAAGAATCTACAAGCAAGTGCAAAGCTCCTGGACCTCCTGGCCGGGAATCTCGGCCCCAGGACCTAACCCGCCAGTCCTTCCTTACCTGCGACAGATCCCTGGGTCAAGGCCACCGCATGAGTAACATTGCTCCCTCCTCCTGCTGAACTTCCTTTCCTCACTCAGGAATAAAGAATTCTGAGGAGGGGGACCCTTTTAGTCACTGTCTTCTCCCAGGCCTCATGGTACATCAGGCTTCTAGAAGGAACCTTTCTCCCCTTCCACAGATGTTGCTGGAGGCTCCCTGGCCTGGGCTCTGATCTCATTGTGAAAGTGGCGGGGAAGCTGGAATTTCCACCGTGCAGGGTGTGCATGACCTTGGGCCTACCCGGTGGCCGGGGGTCCTGCTTCCCCAGAAGCCAAGCCTCTGCCAGACCAGGTGTTAGCCAGGCCTGACGTGGGGAAGGCTGAGGGAGGTGGGGACGGAGCCTGGCTCCAGGTGCCCGCCAACTCTGGGGCCGGCTGAGCTTTTCTGTGGTCCGTGCATGGACGCGGAGGGGCAGAGGCCGGGCCAGCAGCCGGGAGAGGACTTCTGTTTCACCCTGAGCGGGTTGTCCTGGAGCTCACCGGCCTCCCCAGAAGGAACCACTCATCTGAAGAGGTGTGGCCGATGAGGGCCGGGCTGGGGTTTTGATGACCTCCAGACCTCTTGATGCAGGTTTTACTTAGTGAAACCCTTGCAGGGAGGGGAGAGGCCCGTAGCCATGGATTTAGATCAAGTCTCGGCAATCAGAGTTGTGGAGGGGGCACTGTGGAGTGTTCTGGTGGGAGGTCCCAGGGCCAAGCTGGGCTTTGGGCAGGGTTGTCGGGAGGCCTCCCTCCTCCCCAGCTCCTGGCCCGGGATCTTGCTTGTCTCATCCCCCTTGCAGTCTGGCACAATTCTGCCGTGTGCCGTGTGCCGGAATAACTAAGCACACTGGGGAGATCCCAGAAAGAGGAGGCACTCTGCGCTCTGGAACCTTCCATTTGCTCTGATCCTTGGCCTGCCTGGAGGGAGTCTCCCAGATGCACCCCTTCCCTGCCGATCCTCAGCTCATCTCCCTCCCGTTTAACCATGCAGCCCTCATCCACCTTTCCGGGCTCCCCCTTCCCTGGTCTCACTGTGAAATGTGCTCCTCCCCCATCCTCCCCAAGCCCTCTTCTCCAGCAGGCTCCCCACCCTCATTCTCTGAACAGTCCGTGTTAACACACCGTCTCAGCCCTGGTGGCACGTGCAGCCTTGCACTCTAGCTTTCTGTGCACGTGTGTGTACATGTATGTGTGTGCGTGTGTGTGTGTTGAGTCTCCAGCTAGACTGTGAGCTCCCTGAGGGCAAGGGATGTGCCATTTCCTCTCGAACCCCAACAAGGTCTGGCACAGGCTGGGCTCCTAACACTCAGGATATACTTGCCTACTGGCTGACGGGTCCAGTGCTGGAGTCTATAGTGTGGCTGGTGGTGAGGAGGAGGAGGAGGAGCATGAGTTCACACGTGGGTCCATTTCGCTGGGCCGTGAGCTGGCTCCCCTGGGGACAGTGATGACCGCAGGAGACCTCAGGTCCTCACCTACTTAGGGCAGTGGGGCAGGAAGGACGCCCCCATGGCCACGCAGGAGTGCGTGCAAATGGCCGTCCAGGCTGAATATCTCCGTCGGGCACCGATGCCTGCCGGGGCTGACCAAGTGGAATAAATGTTCTCTCAACATCAGCTGGTGTGAGCGGTGGTCTTTTGGGGCTCAGCCGGGAGCAGGGTGGAGGCCTCTAGCCGAAGGAGCTATTTCCATTGTTTGCCAAAGGCTGTAGCAAGCATAGCTTGAAAGCCACAGCAATGAATAGTTTGACCCCCTCCTCCCCACTTCAATCTGGATAATGACTGTTTGGATTTGGGTAATGGATATTGGGGCCCCTTCAAGCAGCCTTGACTGTTTGCTGAGCCTAGGGTGCGGCCAGACCTGCTGCGAGGCTGCGTGGTGATCCCCAGCCCGGCCTGAGAAGTGGACTGTTAGCAGTGCTCCGTCTGAAGACTGTCCGTGCTCTGCTGCTGGCCATCTGCCCCCTGGGAGCCTTGGCCAGCCACGTGTCTTTCCTGAGCTTAGTCCGCTCACCTGTGACCGTCCAGTTGTTGCTGAGGGGCTGGCCCTGATCACGGGCAAGGCTCAGCCAGCACCTTCTATGTCCTACTCTGTGTGGCAGATCTGGGGCTGCATTGATGGTCTCTATCGGCCAAGGGAGGTCCTGCGTGCCAGGAACCCGAGGACAGGACCTGTGGAAGCTGGGTTCGTTGGGGGTGAATCAGGCAGTTGAATTTGTTCAACTCAAATTGACTAATGTCTAAATGGGGAACCGTGGACTCAGGGGGCAGAAGTGCAGTGACTTGAGGGTGACAGCCGGGACCCAGCTGTCTTGGGCTGTGCCCTCCCTCCCCGGGGGCTGCCTCCCCAGCTTGCACAGGAAGAAGCCCTCTGTCTACCGAGGCCAGGTTTCTCCCCTAAAGGTCCGAACCAGCCGCAGGGCTGATGGGGTGGCAGAGGGCAGTGATCTGAATGGCCAGGCCCCAGGGCACACAGTGCCGCTGATGGGTCAGCACCCCTGGAGCCCGTGGTCTGTGAGGGGGTGAAGGTGCGGTTGGTTCAACAGAAGACAACCAGAGGGGGAAGGCGGTGAGGGTTTCCAGGTGGGCAGACCGACATCCTGCTACTGACCAGTAACACTAAGTCCCCTGGGGGCTTGTTCTAAATGCAAAATCGCAGCCCGGCTCCAGAATCGGAGTCAGCAACTGCATTTCAATAGGATCCCCAGCCAATTGCACATGTACACACAGGTGCTCGGCACTGTCACTTGCCTGTCGAGGTGGGCCTCTGACTCAGACAGGCCATCAACTCTTCCATCTAAAGGAGGAGACTGAGGGGCACCTGGGCAGTGCAGTCGGTTAAGCGTCTGACTTGGTTTCGGCTCAGGGCTTGATCTCAGGGTTTGTGAGTTCGAGCCCTGCGTCGGGCTCTGCACTGACAGCTGAGCCTCTGTTCACTCTATCTCTCAAAATAAATAAATAAACATTTTTTTTTTTTAAAGAGGAGATTGGGACATGGCATTCCTCTGAGGCAGGCTTGTGGGTGTAGAGGCAAGGTGCTGTCTCCGGCAGGGTCCAGGGCCCCGGCTACCCTCACCACATCCCAGGCCTGGGGGTCAGTGCTATCGTGACCTGGCCTGCCCAGCCTGGCTTTATGCGAATGTACTGTCAGGAGAGAAAGGCCCAGAAAGTGGCCAGTCCTGGCTGAGGAAGCAGGTGGCTCACCCAGAGCGATTCCTCTTCCCTGTGTGTGCACCCTCCCCACCCTCCCCCTACCTCCATATAAGCCCCTTCCAAACGTGGCGAGGCCTCAATCTCATGGCTGTAATGATGCCCAAGTGAGAGGTTGTTGGCCCTGCGAGTGACTCGTGGCATTTCAGATCCCCTTTCCAAGCTGTTGTGAGTGTGGGCAGCTAGTGGTTCACAGCTGGGTTGCTCCCTGCCACACCTCCAGGCGGGCCAGCTCTGAAGTGTAGTCCCGAGGGATCCGATGACACTAGTTTCCAGCTGAGACCACACCACTGGCTCTTCTCGCCACCCGATCCTGCTTCCCACTCCCCTTTCTCCAGAGCACACTTCGCAATAGCGCCTGTTCTCCTTGGACAGAATCCTTGCCTCAGGCTCTGCTTCTAGGGACCCAAGCCTAGGAAATACAGGCTCAGGAATACAGGCTCAAAGCACGACCAGTATCTTTATTCACTTCTGTGTGATGCGAGTTACCTGTAGGTTTCCAGCGAAGAACTGCCGGTAGATTAATGGATTGGGGCGGCCACCTCCTTTGTGAGGGGCCAGGCCTGAGGCCCTAGGTGCTGGTGTGGCAGCTCCTCACCAGCAGCTCTGAGGCCCCTCCCAGATGGAGACAAGGCAGAAGAATCTAGATCAAGAGTCAAGGGTTGGGGTCTAGTAGAGCTGTGTGGCTTTGGCCAAGATCCTTACCTTTTTGAACCGCAGTTTTCTGATCCACGAAATGAGCAGTGTGGACTAGCCACGCACTGACATTTCTTCGAGGGGTGAGATTCTATAGTTGCTTCCTGACTGCTTGTGTGTGGGCTCTTGGGGGTTGTAAGGGGCAGACACCACTCTGTGTGGCAAGGCCTCATGAGATGTGAGGGGGCCCGTGCACTGCTGTGCCCCCCAGGGGGGCATCCCTCTCCTTGGCCCCCACACTGTCCATGTGACTCAGCCCTGCCCCTTCCTACAGCCGCCAACGCCTCTACTCTCTAGCACATGCTTGTGGGATGAGACCAATTTTGTTTTGTCTTTAGGCAAGACAGCTTGCTGCAGTTTCTAGCAGCAGAGACAGAAACACACCTTGGAGCAGACCTCTGTTCTGGAAGCCCATTGGTTAAACTCATGTAAAACAAATTCCCACTGCTGGTCTCAAACTAGCCTCGGGCTTGGGTGCAGATGCTGCAGCAAGCATTCTAGCTGCTGTGTTTAACAGCAATCATTTTAATGTTTATTTTTAAAATTTATTTGGGGGGGCACAGGTAGGGGAGGGGCAGAGAGAGAGAGGGAGGGAGAGAGAGAGAATCCCAAGCAGGCTCTGAACTGTCAGTGCAGAGCCTGACACGGGGCTCAAACTCATGAACTGTGAGATCATGACCTGAGTTGAAATCAAGTCTGAGGCTTAACCAACTGAGGCATCCAGGCACCCCAATAGTCAAAGGCTATTGCTGGGGCACTTGGGTGGCTCAGTCGGTTAAGCATCTGACTTTGGCTCAGTTCATCATCTTGAGGTTTGTGAGCTCGAGCCCTGCGTCAGGCTCTGTGCTGACATCTCAGAACCTGGAGCCTTATTCGGATTCTATGTCTCCCTCCCTCTCTGCCCCTCCCCCGCTCACACTCTGTCTCTCAAAAATGAACAAGCATTAAAAAAAATTTAAAAAGCCTGTTGTTTGGCAGAGCCCCTGGGAATAGGCGCCTCTCTCAAGTGTGCAAAGGACCTGAAATTCTTTCATTCATGAGGGGCTGAGCTGGTACCTCTTCCGGGACGTGGAAACCTGGTAGGGACAAGCAGGGTCCCCAGACATTAGGTTTAAAGCATGTGGGTCCAGGAGAGCCCTCATTTGTGGGAGCAGCATGCACGGTGTCTAGGTGTGGGGCCACAGGGGCTCTGGAGAAGGGTGGCATGGGGTGCACATGGGGTGCAGAGAGGTGCAGAAACCCTGGCGGAGGGGGGCAGGCAGCCTCCTCCACTCGTGAGCACCCCCAGAAATTACCGGGTGTATGTGTGGCGTGGGGTCCCTGGGGGAGGAATGGCTCATGCAGAATTCTCCGGATCGGGGAGGGCTCAGTCTTGATTCGATCCTAAGAAGCGTATTGCAGGCTAGTGGAGGGGGTCGCCCTGGCCATCTTTCCCACCTCCTGTCCTGTGTTCACCATGGTGCCTGTGGTCTTGTCGCTAATGCTGCTTCCCACCCCTGCCTGCGGCTTCCTCACCGCCACCACCCTGTCTTTCTCTTTGTCTCACATGCAGAGTCCCCAAAGTAGATTTTGGTGTGATTGGTCACCATCGCTTTAGGGAGTCCCTGGGACACAGTCCGTTCTTCCGGGACTGATGTTGCCAGTGAGATTTGAGATGGTGCCTGTGGCACCGTGAGTGCTGGGTCCAACAGCTACCGCCAGGGCGTAAGTCCCGGCAGCTTTTGAGGGAATGCCCGAGCACGTGTCCCCAGATGAGGGTGAGGTGACAGCAATAGGGCTGGCTGGCTGGCCTGTCCAGCCAGTTCTCTGCTTCCTCCCTAACTTTTACTGTGCAAATCTCTCATGTGGCAGATTCAGCCATATGCCTTGTGCCCTTTTTCTTCGACGCGGGGCTCGAACCCCTGAACCGTGAGATCATGACCTGAGCCGAAGCCGGACACTCAACCAACTGAGCTACCCAGGTGCCCCACCTTGTGCCCTTTTTTATACTGTTTTCTTAAGATTTAATTTCTCATGCCTTTGGCTGATCTCCAATGACAGCATTTGTACACCGTCTGATAGCCCGATTTCTTGTGCATAAAGCCCTCAAGGACTTGGGTGCAATTCTGCAGGTCTCGGACCCCGATGTCCAACACTGGAAGCCCAGGGAACAGGGCTGGGGCTTGGACTCATCAACGTTGGTTTCAACTTGGACACGATCATGCTCTGCAGATAGTGCCGGAGCTGGAGCAGAAATATCGTCATGGGAGTTTCTCTCAGTTTCCTGGCCTCCCCCAGGTTGGCATGTATTTATAGTCACTTCTAGTGCTTGGAGATGATTAGAAAGTGGGGCTGTTTTCTTGGCCGTTCCTGGAGCATATTCATGAAATCTTACAAGAAAATTGAGAAACAGGCCCATAAATACGACATGTTGTCCCATTTATTAGGCAACTCGCAAAAAAGCCCCAAATAGCACTGAAAGATCCTATCGTGTGAATGCAATGCAATAACATTAAAATAATTTTGGGGAGGGGTCCGGGTGGCTCAGTCGGTTAAGCGTCTGATTCCGGCTCAGGTCATGATCTCTTGGTTCATGACTTCGAGCCCCATGTCAGGCTCTGTGCTGACAGCTCAGAGCCTGGAGCCTGCTTCGGATTCTGTACCTCCCTCTCTCTGCCCCTCCCCTTCTCTCTCTCTTTCTCTAATGAACATTAAAAAAATTTTTTTTTACA